ACCAGTTTTGTGACCCTGGACAAGTCACTTAACCTGGATTGCCTCACCAAAAAAGCAAAAAATAAATAAAGGAATGAATGAATGCAAAGGGTTGGACCAGATGGCCTAAGGTCTGTTCCAGCTACAAATCATAATCCTATTGCCCCTTCTGAAGCCATTCTATTTTTCAATAGCTCTAATTGTTAGCAAGTTTTTCCTGATATCAAGCCTAAATTTGGCTATTTGCAACTTGCACTCCCTGTTACTGGTTGTTTTCAGGGGCTAAATTGATCCCTAGGTCTCATGTCCACAAAATCCAATCTTGTCTGGGTTCCCTCAACAGAACTTCATGTGTGATGGTCACAAATCGCTCCTCCATCCTGGCTGTCTTGCCCTCCTCTAGTCGCTCCTCAGTTATAAATGTGGCACCTCAAATGGAATACGATACTCCAGATGTAGTGTGACCAGGGCAGAAGACTGAGTGACCACCACCCTGCTCTTCATAAGATTACAAATTTAGGGTGGGAAGGGACCTGACTAGAAACTGTGCCTCTCTTCTGTGGCTCAAGACTGCATCCATTAGCTTTGCTGATTGCCACATCATACAGCTAACTCATACTGAACTTACAATCCACTAAAACCCCCAGCTCTTGTCCAGACAAACTACTATCTATGACTCCCATTTTATATTTACGAAGTTTGGTTTTTTTTAGCTCAAGTGTAAGACTGTACATTTATCCCTCCTGAACTTCATCTAATTCGATTAAGCCCAATGTTCTAGTCAATTAAGTTCTTCTGGATCCTGACTTTGTTATCCTAGATGTTAGCTAATCCAGCCAGCTTTCTGTCACCTGAATATTTGATAATTATGTCATCTGTACCTTTACCCAGGTCACTGACACAAATGTTCAACAGTGCAGGGCCCAGTAGAGATCCTGGTAGCACTCCCCTGGAGACCTCTTGCTGAGCAGATATGGAACCATTAATGACTATTCAGAGTCCAGTCATTCAATACATCATGAATCTGTCTCATTGTGCGATCTACTCTGTATCTCTTCATCTTTCCCCACAAAGATGGTGTAGCTAAAATCTAGGTTAACTAGATTGAAAATGAAATTTAGACTAGACTTAACCAAAATATTCCCTTGACTTATCAGTTTAGTAACCTTATCAAAAAAAGCCATAAAGCTAGTCTGGCATGACTTGTTCTCCATAAACCTATGCTGGTTCTTTGTAATCATCACTTCCTTTTCTGGACATTCACCATTCATCTCTTTAATGCTCCACGCTAGAGTTATCCCCAAAACAAAAGTCAGCTTCTGTGGCCAGACTTTGCAGACTGTATTCTCTTCCCTTCTCCAGTTCTGCCTTATCTGTCCTATTCTCCAGGATCTTTCACATGTCATGGACAGGCACTTAACAATCACAATGGCCAGTTCTTCCAGTACCCAAGGATGTGATTCATCTGGGTCAAGTGACTAGAATTCATTCAGGGCAGCCAGAAGCACTCTTACTATCTCCTCAATTATCTTAGGCTTCACCCCTTGGTTAGCCAGTTTGATTCTTTTATTCTCATTACAAAAAACATTCTCCATATAAGGGAAAACAGAAACAAAACACTAAGTGCACAACTTGGACTTTCTTTTGGGCACTATCTCAATCACCCTAAGCCAGGGATCTACTTCTTTCTCTGATACAGCTTCCTCGGTTGGCTTCTCCAGTCTCAGCTTACCTTCCCATGTAGTACTCCTGATAATATTATGGGACTATCCAAAACTCACAGCCACCCTCTGATTCTTGATCTTGCTTCCATTCTTTTTACACATTTTTTTTTTAAGCAAGGTAATTGGGGTTAAGTGACTTGCCCAAGGTCACACAGCTAGTAAGTGTCAAGTGTCTGAGGCCAGATTTGAACTCAGGTCCTCCTGACTCCAGGGCCCGTGCTCTATCTACTGCGCCACCAAGCTGCCCCTACACATATTTTAAAAACCAAAGTGTGCTGGTGATGTCCCTGTGCATCCATCCATATCACCCTCTTTAGATGACTTCCATTTTCCCTCCTCAATGTAATCTGTGTCTTCCCTTTGGATCTCTGGGATTTCCCTCTAGGAGTTTCTCATTCTTCTTGGGCTGGCTTTCCCTGTAGAATGAGGAATGCCATGGGATCCTGCCTGGCATGTCTTTGAATCTTTTGAAATCTGATTTCGCCAAATCTAAGATATATGTCAGATAATACTCAACTTCCTTCTTCTCCTCTACCACCAACTTTAGGAGGGAGCCATCACTTTCAGGCAAAGTCCCCACCGTTTCTAATTCCAGCCATCAGATCTTTTCTGTTACTATGAATTGGATCCAGAAACAATCCTCCCCTTTTTGATTCCTCAACTTTGTGAAGGATGAAATTATGTGAGTATGTCAATAAATATTTATCAAGCACCTACTATGTCAGGCACTATGCTAAGCACTAGAGAGACAAAGAAAAGCAAAAGATCTTCCCTGTCCTAGAAGAGCTCCCAGTCTAATGGGGGGGAGGGGGGAAGAGAAGAATATATCACTTATCACCAAGGCACAGCAAGAAGCTACAGGCTGTTCCACTTTTGGCAAAGAATGCTTCAGGAGACAACAGGATAAATGAAACACCAGTCATACCTTATCATGTCTCTGTGCTAAGATTCAGATCTGTTTCCCAAACTACCTTTTTCCTTCTTTGTCCACAGAGTCTGTAGGATACACTTCAGTGTACAGAATGCTTCTGCTTCTATTCTATTATTCAACCAAATGTTGTCTGCCGTGATTTCCCTCTCCAGCTCCTGGATTTCCTCAAATGAACATACCTTTTTAGTACAAAATGGTATTGCACCTACCCTTTTTACCTATCCTGTTTCTTCTGAATAAGCTACTTAATGGGTTGGTTGGTTACTGTCCTTTGTGAACAAAATACATCACTATGCTGGGGTTAAAGTACAGTGTGTCCGACGGTGGCTGATCAGACCAACACAAGCTTGGAAATCTCTACTACGGTTGGGCACAAATAGCTCGTATGAAACTATTCAATTTGACCCAGCCAGAGCCATAATGCAGTTATATATCTCACTCCACTAAGTCTCAGTGACACCTATTAAGTTAAATTTGCCTCTCTGAATTAGAACCACTGGCTTTCATACTTGTTGCCTAAATTTGGGGCACTGGTGAGGAAATATACGAGGCTAGGGATCTTATGACTTGTTTCTTTCTTAGATTTTTTTCTTCTCCTATGAAGTTCTGGGTGTCTCCTCCTTTTTCTTGCGTTGTGGCTACTCTCTGTAGTATTCAGCTTAGGGAATATCCATAGGCAATTTTCTTCTTTCCTCATCCTTTTTATTTTAAAGCCTCCTCTTTTTTTTCTTAATTTTCAGTTCCAAATTCTCTCCCTCCTTCCATTCCTCCTCCACCCACTGAGAAGGAAAGAAATAGGATACCCATTACACACAAGAAGTCATGCAAAACATATATCTGCACTATGTTAAAACCCTTTTGATTAGATTTACTAGAGACCTAACTAACAAGTCACTTAACCAAGGCCCAGAGAGGTCTCCTCAACTCCAAAATGAGAGGATTTGACTTAACCTATAAGGTCCCTTCTTCCAGCTTTAAATCTACAGTCCTGTGATCCATATATAAGATTGGTAAGCCTGTGTCAAGTACCTTTGTAAACTGGTGCCCCAAGGTAAGATAGTCTTCCTACTTGTATATTCCAAGTTACTATCTATTTCACTACCTGAGTTTCTCTTCTATTGTTCCTCCTTGCCACACTCTCAAGGCTGGAATGGACTGCAAGGGATGAGTGTTACAAGGAAACGTCCCAGAGTTCTCCCTATCACAAAGAATTTTATGCTTTTCCTCAAAACTTGGGTCTTACTTTCTACCTAAAGCCAAAAGACCCTGGAGATGTTGCTCATAGCTGCAGAGATGGCTCTATGAAGCATGAAAGCAGGGAAGGGAGGAAGGACATTAGAGTAATATGGTTTCCAAGCCTTTGTAACTGAATTAGGACTTGCACTGGACAGAGAGTAAGTTAAGTGGAAGAAGGAAAGGCAAATACTCTCTTCCTTAGCTAAAGAAAGTCTAAAGTTCTAAGCTCCTACATACACACCGATGTTTTACAAAAATGCCTAAATTTTATTTGTTGCTTTATTCTAAGTTCTGCAGATTCACCTCTACTGAAAAACCAACTACTGTGCTTCCAAAAGAGGGCATTGGTAGGGAGCACTTCTTTTTCAGTGTATGATTATTTTTTCTTCTTTTCACAGAGGTCCTTTTTTCAAAAGATGGCCTATATTCAAGGGAGAATCCAGTAGTAAACCAATAGATCCAATGTTTTCAGTCTATGTTTAATATAACCCTGGTTTCCCTCTAGGCTTGAGAATTATTCTCATCACAAGTCTTTTATTTCAAAGCCACAACCTTCCTAGGAATATGTGCATATTTCCAGTTTGCTCTGGGGTTGGATTTGGGACTAGAAATCACCCAAAGTAACCTTAACAGCCATGTTCAGGGTGCTGTCATTTTCTCAACTCACAGAGGACACTAAAACTTCCCATATGAATTTTCTTTCAAAAGAACAGGGAAGGAAGCAAAATATATCTTAGAAATTGTAGTCTTCTCTACTCATCTATTTCTTGTCTGACCCTGGCACCCTTGTTTTATCCATTTTCTCCTTCTTCATAGCTTGAGAAACCCTTTTTAAAATTCTGATACCTTTATTTTTGCTCCACATTCCACATCCTTTCTTTACGCAGGATTACATGAGTTTCCTACGTTAGGGAGTCAATTTCCCAATGATCTAACAAAAGTCAATGGGAAACAGAATTTGATATTAAAATGATTTCACTTTATAACCAACATTCAGCAATGTACCTACTCTGTATATGAAGGGAGAATGGAATGTATATACAAGGAAGCCATTCAAAATCTGTCTAATGAGAACTTGCTTAGTATGACTAACACAAATATTTTTTTCACAAAAATGCCTAATTTTTTACCTGCTACTTTATCACGAATAAGTTTTGCAGATTCAACTTCACCAATACTGCTAAACAAACTTCGTAATTCATCCTGTGTCATGTTCTGAGGGAGGTAGTTGACAATTAAATTCGTTCTACCGATATCATCCCTGCAATCTTCAGCCATGTGATCTTCATAACCATTAGACATTTTATAAAATATCTGCAAAGAAAAAAATTAAATAAGTTCTATGTATTCACATTGTAGTACATTAAGACAGAACCAACTTGTACATTTTCACTTAGAAACATTCAAAACCATAAATTCAACACTCTCTTCTAAGAGATATCCTCCATGAAATTAAAAATCCTTCCAACACCAAACCTTCTGAGAAGAAATATGGAATGTCTCTTAAGAACTTTCCCTATTTTTTCCTCTTCTCCAAATTGCTATTGTTGCCTCAGGCTAAAAATGTCAGTGGCTAAATAATATTTATAAAAGAAGTAATATTGCCATGTACCCAGCCCTAAATCTCATCTATCACACATATCCCTGTACTATCCTTCCAGTTTACTGGTAGACAGAGGATAATAATTATACTAAATTGTAACATTTCTGGCAAGAAGTTCTTCTCTCCCTTCATTCTCAGAAGTCCATCTGAAGATGCACAAATCTTGAAGGACAAAACTGTTCCTAAAATCTATGGACTCTACTTGTTTTGTCAGTTGGCTATACATATTTTTACATTCTTCCCAATCAAAAGTAAATCTAAGAGGTGCAGCTAGGAGGCGCAGTGGATAGAGGACCAGCCCTGGAGTCAGGAGGACCTGAGTTCAAATCCGGACTCAGACACTTAATAGCTGTGTGACACTGGGCAAGTCACTTAACCCTGACAGGAAGAAAAGAAGGAAGGAAGGTAAGTAAACCTAAGGAGTCTGAATGTTATCAGCCCAATTCTATTTATTTTCTATTTTTCTGGCTAGGCAATGGGGTTAAGTGACTTGCCCAGGGTCACATAGCTAGTTGATGGCCAAGTGTCTGAGGCCACATTTGAACTCAGGTCCTCCTGACTCCAAGGCCAATGCCCTATCCATTGCACCACCTAGCTGCCCCTACCCAATCCTATTTAGATTGATTTAAAACGATAGCTTAATATACACTGAATGACAGAATTGGGATTTCAAATACTTCAACAGGCTGAAACCATAATCATAACAAAAACATACAGAAGAATCCACAAGGGGAAATAATACAAAATCAGCCTGGAAATACAGGCTGAATGAAATTATGAAAACTAAAAAGAAGAAATTATGAAAACTAAAAAGAAGAAATTGAACATGAATAAAAACAAAGCCGCTCATTTACATAAAAAAGAAAATCAAGCATAAAAGTACAGAATGGTAGAGACTCACTCTGACAAAAACTCATATTGAAAAAGACCTGGGATTTTAGTTGTGTAGAAAGTCAATTTAGAAAGAGGTAGAGGCGTCTCAAGTGGTATTTAATGGAAAGGCCTTGTGTTATTTAATACTCTTAAATCAATTGCTTTGATAAATATATAGATGGTATATTTATAGTCAAGATGGAGGAAGACCTTGATAGGTGACAATGTTGTGCCAAATCCAAGAAGATGACATTTTGAAAAGATGTAAAGTCTTGTGCTGGGTTCAAAAATATCAACTTCACAAGTGGCAGAGGCATTGCTAGGTAGCAGTTTGTCTAAAAAAGATACGGGGGTTTTAGCTGCTAAACTACAAACTTAAGTATAAAGCCACACTATGTTATGGCAGCAAAAAAGCTGATGCATCAAGGGCTTAGACTACTTTAAGAGAGGTATACTGTCCACATGACAGTCCCTCTGTTCTCAGTCCTGATTAGTCTACATTTGGAGCACAGTATTTAATTCTGGAAATCACATTTTAGGAAAGGCCCTGAGAAACTGAACTGTCCAAAGGCTGGTGGTGATCAGGGTGATGAAGTGTCAAATTCATTCAGTATTTATCAAGCACCTACTATGTACTAGGCCCTGGAAAGACAAAGACATACATTCCCTGCCCTTAAGGAGCATACATTCTATTTGGGGGAAACAGCATGTACAGTAAACACAACATATATACAAAGTAAATAAAACAAATTCTTGTGGGAGCAGTGGAGGGTGGGGGGAGAAACTGGGAAGAACAGTAAAAGCTTAATGTAGGGGATGGTACTGAGCTAAAGATTCTGAGAGGCAGAAGTCAGAGGGGATAGGCTACACAAAGGCAGAGGGGCAAGAAAGGGAATGCTAGAACCAGTTGGGCTAGAATATAGACTACATATAGAGAAGAATGTGAAATCACTCTAGAAAGATGGAAAGATGGGCTGGAGCCAAATTGTGATATGCATTTTATCCACTGAAGTTTCTTGAGCAGGGAAGTGACAAGATCTCAGAAGATCAATTTGGCAGTTATGTCAAGGATGGATTAGAGAGGAGAGATTAGAGGCAAAAAGACCAATTAGGAGGCTATTGTAGTAGCTTAAAAGAGAAATCATAAGGGCTTGAATTAAGGTGGCAACAATGGTCGTGGAAAGAAGGGGATGATATGGGAAATGTAAACCTAGAATTGACAAGATTTGATCTTTGTGATTAGATATAGAGGATGATGCAGAGGCAAAAGCTGAAGATGATTCTGAGGCTGCCTATTGGAGAGTCCTCAACAGAAACAGGGAAGTTAGGAACAGGGGTAGGTTTTCAGGATAAGACAATGATTTCTGTTTTGGACATGTTGACTTTGAAATCCCTATGGGAAGTTCAGTTGGAGTTCCTCAATAAGCAGTCAGTGATGTAGGATTAGAGCTAAGGGGACACTAGGGCTAGACACATAAATCTGAGAGTCATCTGCCTAGAGATTATAAAGTAAACTCATAAAGGTTGATGAGATCACCAAAGAAGGATGGGGCAGACAAAGAAGAGGGACTGAATAGAGCCTTAGAGGATATCCATGGTTAGGGAACAGGAGAAAATGATAATGCAGCAAGGGAGACTAAGGCCAGACACATAAGAAGAGAACCAGAAGAAAGCAGTGTCACAAAAACTCAACAATAACAGAATGCCCAGAAAGATGGAGTGATTAACAATGTCAAATTCAAAAAGTGTAAGAAAAATGAGGACAGAGACTCCTCACTGTCTACTGAAATCCAAACTTTTTTAATCCAAGCATCCAAGTGGCTAAGAATTGGACATCAAGAGGATGGCCATCAATTAGGGAATGGCTAAACAAGCTGTTGTATATGATTATAATGGAATATTATTGTGTTATAAGAAGTAATAAACAGGATGATTTCAGAAAAACCTGGAAAGACTTACATGAATTGATGCAAAGGGAGCAGAACCAGAACGTTGTACACTGTAATAGCAATACTGTACAATGAAGAATTGTGAATGACAACTATTCTCAGCAATACAATGATCCCAAGTACTCATGATGAAATACGCTCTCCACCTCTTAAAAAGAATTAATATTGTCTGAATACTGACTGAAGCATACTATTTTTCTTTCTTTCTCAAGTCTTCTCATACGAAATGACTAATATGGAAATGTTTTACGATTGCACGTGCATAACCTATATCAGAGAGGAGGGAGAGGAAAGAGGAAGGGATGGAATTTGGAACTCAAAACTTAAAAAAAAAAGTTAAGAATTATTTTAACACAGAATTGGGGAAAAGAATAAAATATTATTTTTTTAAAATGCCTAGCACGCGAGGACCTCAACAATCTGGCTCTGACTTACCCTTCAAGCCCTTTCATGAACTTTATATCCCAACAAGGGAAAATCTGCTTCCTAAACTCATCCTGCCCTCCTCTGCCCCCATATCTTTGCTCATGCCACTTTATGCCTGAGTTACGCATTTGTCCATCTCTCATCCTTGTCCCCTCCCCCACCAACTTTCCCCATTCTCTTAGGGCAATTCTGATCATTCTTGAATGTCTAACTCAGGTGCTATCTTCTTCATGAAGCAGTCTCTCTTCATCCCAAGTAGAAGAGAGTTCCTATTTCCTCAATTCTTTAAAGAATACTCAACACATTGTAATTTGTAATGCAGTTATTTGTGTCTCAGTCATATCTATCTTATTAGATTACTGTTCTGTTCATCTTAAGCCCCAGCAGTGTCTTGAACACAGAAAGTGCTTGATAAACTAAAGTATAAGCTCCTCAAAAGCAAAACCCCTATGTTCTATTTCTTTATATTCTTCCAAAGGTCTAGTTTATTTAATGAAGGCATCAATTCATACCCCTAGAGGAAAGGAAGAGAGGAAGAAGAATATTAGGAGATACCTATTAGAAAAAAGAAGAAATAAGGGGCAGGTAGGTGGCCCAGTGGATAGAGCACTGGTCCTGGAGTCAGGAGGACCTGAGTTCAAATGCAGCTTCAGACACTAGACTCTTACTAGCTGTGTGACTCTGGGCAAG